AAATATATTTGAAGCCGGAGACCACTAACGGAAAAACTGTAATCCGTTGGATAATGTATTTTATCGGAACGATGAAGATATGATCCAAAGTAGTAGTAGTATAAAAGGCAAAACGGAGAAGATCTGAGACATTTTAAAATGATTAAAAACAAAAATTATACAAAAACAGAGCATCAACAACACGAGAAGAGGCTTCTCTTTGTTTTGTTTCTTCACCTTTTTTATATTTCACTCCAAAACCGCAACTTCTTGATCCACCCTCCAGAAGTTTGCATCGTTGAACTCTTTCACTCCCGAATTCTCCTCTTTGTTTTCGTTTTCCGCAACTTTCTGAACAATATTCCGCTTCAACGGTCCAGCTTCACCTACTATCCCTTCTTTCAAAGCTTGCTCCATTGCTTTCTCTGTCCCTTCTGGTTCCACTCCCACAAACTCCACATCCTCTTCAAATAATGCTCGCACTGCCGTTGGCGATTTCTGCCCCGGGCTCCTGTTTCCAGATGTAGGTGAACCGTTTGGAATCACCGGCTCGGTCTTCACATCAARCATTGGCACATCGATGAATGGGTTAAGACTGGAGCTAGTGACTTGCATTGCAGATGGTTCATCGTTGTTCCCTGACGTGTTGATGCTTGTTGAGTCCGTTGGTAAATTGTCAGCAAAGATGTTCTTTGGTTTCTCAGTTAGATCATCGTCTTCTTCTTCTCCAACGAGAACCTCGTCGTCGCTGCTGCTGCTGTTGGCATTTGAGTTTTCGTCGAAGTTCATGTCTTCGATCGTCGTGTCAGAGGTGTTGCTGAATCTGTCGTCTTGGAATGTGAACCAGTTCGAATTTGTGAGCAAACTGTGGCAAATAATTAAGTATCATGATTTCAGATTAATTGAGTTAAGGAACTGATACGAGAGCAATAAAGGAAATCTTTGTATGACAGTGAAAGTATGCATAGAAAGAAGCAAAGTAAACAAATTAAAACGCACCTTCCTTGGTCATCTCCGAGTCTCAAGGATGAAATTACTACTTCAGCAGATTCATCATCGAAGTAAGCATCCTGCATATAACATGAAGACAAAATCCACAATCTAAACAAAATGCTTTCAGGCTTACAACTTATCACAATCTTGAGAAATTATAATGTGAAAACCGATATGAAGACCAAAGAAGAGTATCGGACTTACACTATCATCTCTATCGAGAGCATTGCTGTCCTAAAACCAGAGAAGACAAAAGAAGAAATGATAAAACAGGTGTTGAATATATCGTTTCATAAATACAAGAAAAATTATAAGCAGTAAGAAATATACCTCTTCATTATCGTCGTTTCCATAGATTCTGTAGTTAAATGCTTGGCTTAAATTATTGGCCAGAGCTGCAACATCGTAATCCCTGTCTTCTTCATCGCTATCCCTTGTTCTGTCTTGTAGTGCAGTTGGGCGCCTGTAAGTGACATTGGTTTGAAGATCATATACTAGCAGGAGGCGAAATAAGGTCACAATGCAACTACTTCGTTTGCTCATCATGAGAAGCAATAAGACTGACAATGACAATGCATCTCATTCGTTCGTTTGCTACTCCCATTAAAGCGCATCAACCCAGTTTGTATAGAAAACTGTTAAATTATCAGGTCTTCATTAGCCCCGAGAGTGTTTATGTATTGGTTGGCATAGTACAGATAAATAATTAGAAAACTCCATATTTCTCCATCATTACGAACCACTCTTTATCAGGTCTAAACTAACCATCCTAAACATATGCAATGGCCAATAATTTGATGGTTACTAAACTGGGCCAAGGGAGAAAAGTTAATGGAAGTACCCGCATGCCCATCTGTACACATTCTCAACAGTGTTGCGCTTCTGCAGAACACTACTTTGCCACTCGTTCCATTCACTGTTTCCCTAACAATTTGAGAGAGCAAAGTCTTGTCAGCGACACACCGAAAGTAGACAGGGCATTCTTCAGCGAAAGCTTTTATTGATGAACCTATTTTAAAAACAAATTACTCTGCAGAAGATTGTTTGGGTGTAATACCAACCTGAAGTGATGCCTTTATCAGGCTATTGCTATCACTCAACTGGACAAGTTTATTCCATAGTCTTGTAATATGTCCAACATATCCAACCCGTGGTGGTTTTTTCCCAATGGCAACTACGGTAGGCTACATCACAGAGAAAAATTGGCAGAAAGATTGTTAAACTAATGATCATCAGAACAAGAAGACTATGGCTCTTAACTTGAGCTGATTTTTAAGATGATACCAGACCAGATATCTCTAATCAGTTAAACCCTTTGTAGACAAAAAAGCAGATGTCATACCAGGTTGTCACCGGCAAGAACTGAATCTTTGTCTGATGAAAGAATTTTGCGAATCAGATCACATTCTTCAAGGATATGGTTAACCATTATTTTGCTCTTATTTTCCAAACAGGAAAGTATTATACTCTCCACTTGGTGATGCAGAGCGTTATTGTATGGGTACCTTCATGAGTAGAAAGTATTTAATTATTTAACATCTCAAGGAAAATGCCACATCCAGATCGAGAGTTCGAAACTTAGAAAAAGCTTACTCGAAGAATAGATCAAGGATCCTTTTAATTGTTCCAGAGCTCGCTAATTCTTGTTCAGCAGCTTCATTTCCAGATTTCAACAGAACCGCAATGAATTCCACAATCTGAAAAAACGATTTGACTAGCTGAGGCCAAGATTCAGCGTAAAGATAATACACATCCAAAAAAAACCTACCATTCATTCTCAGAAAAGCTTAAATTTAGGATCTGACCTTTAGACGATGCTTTCCAAGAGGCGGCCTCAGCTCTCCATATGTTGTAGGTAATACTTTGCTGTCAGACGCTATACTGAGAAGCATAAGCAAGTCACCTGCAGCAGAATTACAAAATCTTGTTCACATAAGGGCAAACCTTGATTTGACAAAAATTGCAAGACATAAATCCTACATATCCAAGGAATTCCAACAACCATGGTATTCACAAACACCCAATTTCTCATTATCCACATAATCCAAATTGGAACAGACCGAATAGAGTAAGATAGAATCATGAGTCAGCAGAAACTGAAAAAAGAATCACAGAAAGGTAAGCATTGTCCTTGTGATTACTTCAGGTGCATCCAACACAAATTGAAATTTGATGGGAATATTTTATAGCATGGGAAACCAATTACCGAGTTTAGGTAGCATGGCACCAATAGTCTCCTGGGTCACTGGGTCAGGAGACTCAAACATATGTTGACTTCTAAAAGAATTGAAGAAAGGTGATGAAGCAGCGGATCTCCTCGTATCTAACAGAGAGATACATACAGTAAGTGAATGAACTAGACCAGATTTTGAATGTGAATCTTCTATAGCATGACCAAATATCCTAGAAACAAAGCTGCAGAAAGAAGAAAGATTTTGATCATGTCAGACTATGTATATATCCACAGAAACCAGTGAATATCAAATATGAAGGCAAAGGTAACAAACCCAGGGCTAGAGAGCTTTGTAGCTAAAGCTGACGGTGCATTTCGAGTAATTGCACATAACGTTTCTGCTGCATTTGCCTGAACTTCAGGAGGATTCTGATTCAAGTTACGGAAGGTTATAAGAAATTGGGAACATCGAATAAGACTGTAGATGATTTTTTTTGTTTTTTGGTGTGCAATGGACTGTAAATGATAACAACAATATTTTCAATGGTAAATTCCAGCAACGCTTTTCTTCATTTGGTAGCCTCTCACTAAACTAGATTTTAGACCACCTACATTTATCAAAAATAAAACCTCAAGTCTCTTTTTTTATTTTGGAATAACCTAAAATTTGATTACTTACAGATGGATTTAGTTTCTCCACGATCATCTCAAGTAAATCACTATCAGCCAAATATCGCATCACATCCAGAAAGTTGGGATAGACATGATCGTCAGCCCCAACTAAGCGAACCAATACCTACACAACATCACAAGAACTTTACCTGAAAAGATAAGCACGGAAGTCACACCAAGTTGCACAGGGTCTCACACAATCATTTACCTCCATGATGGATGTTATTCCAATCAAATCAACCAGCTGGCTAAAAACATTTTGATGCCCCTGAAATCATCAAGAGCAAGTTTTAGAAACATAGCCGGTGGTCGTCGAATCAATGGATATTGTCATAAGTTAAAGTGAACCATTTAGTCACACCAAACCGATTGTGTCACAATGTATGTATTTCAAGCTTGCAATAGCAAATGTTCTGAAATCTACTGAGTAGCCAGAAAGAAAGCCTTAATGTTGTACATTTCTCCTAGTCAATTTCAGACATCATTTCAGAAAAGTTTCCATAATAATAAGTAGAAAAGAGTTTCTCTGATCTAAGTTTTAAGTCAGTTATAACTCAGTGAGCAAACCCACATTTGATATAAACCTATGAGGAAATAAGATTTGTAAACATAATGCAAATATAAACTGATGCAAGAAAAGAGAGCATAAGAGAAGAAAGTTATCAGCAATTCTAAGATAAAGCAGTACTACTTACTTTTATATAGTTCATAAGTGCTGCAGTCTTTCTGATCAGAAGACAGATGACAACCTAAATCAAACAGAGAAATGTAAGAACATATCTGTCGGACCATAAAACCAGTTAGCCTTTACACATACTTCCTATTAGTAAAAAAGAGACCTTGCCGAAATAGCCTGCCAGCAACGCGCTATGAGGACGATCTGGTTGCAAAAAGGCGAATAGCAAATCCATCATCTGCAAGTTTAAATTAGACCCAACAAATGAGATCAGCTAGAAGAATAGAAATGTATCAAATCCAAAAAACATGAAAACAGTCAGCTACTCGAGGAAACGGTAACATGGTAAATGGAAATACCTTGTCGTCCTCCACCAAAGTTTTGAGAATAACATCAATCTCACAAGTAAATATCTCGCAAGAGATGAATGGAAACCTAAGAGAAGAAGAATCCGTTACTAGCTGGAAACAAAAAACACCATTGCCAGAAACATTTAACGTAAAGGAAGCACGTATGTATTACTTGAAAGCACGTTTGCTATCAGCGTCGTCCTGAGGTTCTTCAACAACATAGCGCAGCAGTTGCTCCACTTGAGCTTTATCCCTAAGACTGCAAAAATGAATACGACATGAGAAACTTTCCAAGAAAACCCAATGAAAACAGAAAGCTGCTTATGTTATTCAAAGCCTACAAATTGATGAGTCGGCTATTCAAAGCTTTGCATTCTTGAATAATTTCTTCCTCGTCAAGAAGCTCTTCCAAAGTGAAGTTCTCTTTGTCAAGAATGGACTCCACCTATATAATTAGCAACAAAACGAAAGAGCATCAACGTAACTGAGAAGAAAAAACCCTTTCAACGAGCACAGAAGAATCACGGAGAGACCTGACCGATCGATTAAAGAGTTTGAGCATAATAGCAGAAATGAGAGATTCAATCAATGAGTCGAATCGCAAAGATAGATGAAAAAATCAATGAGTCGAATCGCAAAGAGTCTCTGTACAAGGGATCTGTGTAGAACTCACAGGTGAAGAAGCGGAGAGAGAAGCTAGCTTCCAGAACATGGTGGCGAGTGGCTAGATCCGGAATCTAGGAGGAGCTCTAAACTCGATCAGTCAATGGTGATTGATTGGAGATCCAGAGAGAGAGAATGGGATCGGATTGCAAAATCCGGAAAAGGTTTTTTACGAAAGTAAATTCTGAAATAATTAATGAAGCCAAAAATACTAAAGGGCAGACAATCTGGAACAAAATTGTGCAAGTCGATGAATGATTTTTACGAAGATGCAAAGATATTTTTTACAATTTGGTTACAAAAGGATTTTGCAGCCTCGGTAAATGCAACATTGCGAAAGTGACTGTGATAGGAATTTGTGTCTCTCTCTCTTTTTTTTTCACTCAATGCAATTGTCTTGGATATTAATGATTAGTTACCCGCGTCAAAGTGAAATTAAAATATTCATTTTTTTTTTTATAATACATAGGAAAAGGAGAATTTGCGGTGGGTAGCAACAG